AAAAATAAGATTATGGGTGCTAAAGTGGCAAAAGGAGTAAGAACATTAACGGCACAAAGACCACAAATACTTGAAGAAGTGGAAAAGTTGTTATTAATTTGGATACACGACAAGGAGTTGAGGGGTGATAGTGTTTCGGAGGCCATTATTTGTGAGAAAGCCAGGGTGTTGCACGACGACCTTCTAAAGAATACCCCTGCAACGAGTGATGCAGATAAGAAAGAGTTTAAGGCAAGCAGGGGCTGGTTTGAAAAATTTAGAAAGAGAAGTGGTATCCATAGTGTTACAAGGTGTTACTCCCCTTCCAAACAGTAACTCCTCTCCTCCTCCCCCCTCCTCACCATCTTCCATACGCCTACAGCACTCGACAGCAAGGCAAGTAATAACTGGAACATAGTTTTGTAGGTTTATTTAGATGAATTAGGTAAATTAGGTATAAAAATTTAGTTTGATGTGGGGTTTTTGGGGTAGTCAGGAACGGATTAATTCATTTCCCTTTATTTCTTATGGGGAAATTAACTTCGGAATGCGAGTTTTCGGAATGCGAGGCGTCTCCAGGAACGGATTAAACTCGTATTCTGAGGTATGCCTGTATCATATTTTAAGGCTGCGCAGCATCGTGGTTAAGGAAGAAAAGTTGTGCATTACATTTATAATAGAAAGTTGAAACAAGAACAAAGAGTAATGTAGTGAGGATCATAAGAACTGGAGAAACTAAGAATAAAGAGGGAGTACTGAAGGCCTTTATTGTTCATTCACTAAGGCCTTGGGCACTGCTGGTACAGCCCAAGCCTTAGGGATTACACCAGGCTTGCAACACTCTCCTGCCTCCTGACAGCCAAAATCAGAATCTGGTTATCTCTACAAGTCCAGTGGATCTCTGTTCCTAAAGTGGACCTTTGGGAGCAGAGATTAACCCAAAACCTGAGGAAAACCCAAGGGAAAGGATGTTGTTGTTGTTATAGGGGGCCACAATGGCACAAGGACTATATGTGCTCCAGTATTACCATATAGGGTCAAATCTAAAGTGTTGTGGCATTATACTGGACACATCACCTGCTGGCAAAAGACTCTTGTATCAGATATACACACTAGTAGGCATTGGCTGCAGTGTAGTCTGCAGTGCAGTGGTTGCATGCAGCGCATTAGCCGCAGTGTGGTGCACTGCCTGCATGTAGGGGTGTTTGGTAGTGATTGTAGGATATTATTAATACAGTATAAGAGTCTATAGATACAGTATAAGAGTCTATAGGTACAGTATAGACATCATACAGTGTACATAAGAGGCAGTATTGGTGCAAGCGACCTTGCCATCCTCCACCTCCCGGGGAGGTTCGGGTGGGGAGGAGGGGTGGACTCTGCACCCATCTTGATAAACATGACCAACAGTAAATATTATATTTCCACCGAGTATTGACACTGAATGAACCAATGAAACTGATCCCAGCATAAATAATGAATGCAAGAATCCATTAAATAACATTATTATGGATGGGGATTTTTTGGGGAGGGATCTGCAAGTTGTCTATCTTGAGGTCATTTTGAGATGATTTCGGGGCTTTTTAGTGTCCCCGCGGCCCGGTCCTCGACCAGGCCTCCACCCCCAGGAAGCAGCCCGTGACAGCTGACTAACACCCAGGTACCTATTTTACTGCTAGGTAACAGGGGCATAGGGTGAAAAACTCTGCCCAATGTTTCTCGCCGCCGCCTGGGATCGAACCCAGGACCCCAGGATCACAAGTCCAGCGTGCTGTCCGCTCGGCCGACCGGCTCCACCCACTGTCTCACCCCGTCGCACATTGAGCTATTGGATTTTCTGCAGTATAACCACTATTTTAGTTGCTTTATCATACCCTTGTTGATTGTGATGTTCAAGTGGGTTTATATGGGGGGTGAGGAATTATTATTTTGTGCATGTAAGCACAATATATAATCAGTAGCAGATCAAAAACATACATCTTATCTGCCTGAAAATATGATACACATAGTTAGTTGTCTAGTTAGTCTGCCTGTCAGTCTTAACACTTTCGCCCACCGATGACGAAGTATGGAGTCAAAAGTTTACTAGTTCAATACCCACTGATGACAAAGTATGGCGTCAAAAATTAAAAAACATTTGGTTTTGTGAAAATGGCGGTTTTGGACATTATATGCATATACACCTGTAGGGATTTTCATTGCGAACACATTGATAACAAAATGAATGACCTAGGATGGGAATCGAGATAATAAAGTTGAAAAAGAGTAAACACATTTTATTGCTCTTTATTAGCGCTCACTGGGGTAACGCACCGTCACTTTCTCTGCTTGCTGTGGGTGGTACGTAGGGCTTTTGGACTTTATATTTGCATATACACCTGTAGGGAATTCTATTGCGAACACAATGATACAAAAATGAAAGACCTAAGACGAGAATTGAGGTAACCAAAGTGAAAGGAGAGAACACATTTTATCGTTCTAGTGTGCTCCCGGGTAACTTTCTCTCACTTTCTCTGTTTGCTGTGGGTGGTAAGCCGGGCTTTTTGAGTTTATTTGCTTTGAGTTCTGTTGAGCATTCTATTGCAAACACATTGATACAAAATTGAAAAACCTAGCACGAGAATTAAGGTGACAAAGTTGAAAAGAGTCTACACTTTTCAGTATTACTGCACGCTCCCGCGAGCTCCCGTGGAACGTCCAAAACCACTAGGGTAGGAGATATGCTTGCTCACCCAAAAGTGTTAATGGTGGTTTGAACAGTCATTTATTTTGCAAATAATAATAAATATTACATTTTTAAAATACATAGAAGATGTAACATTGGTCAATTAGTGGGTATAAAATTGTATATTAAGGCCACTAATATGCAAAGCCTTTTGGAAATGGCTAAATAATTCTTTAATTATCAAGATTAACTGGGTAAACACTTGATAGTAGTCAAGAAGGAGGCCAACATACACAAGGTATTCAAGAAATTTAGCAAATGACACACAGATTTTACGTGACAGTTTCCTTTTGCAAACAGAGCAGACTGTTGGAATAAGTTAAGTGAGAAGGCGGTGGAGGCCAAAATCATCAGTACCTTGTAGTTTCAAAGCGTTATATGACAGTAGTGGGAAGACGGTACACGAGTGTAGCTCTCATCCTCTACTACACTTAGATACTATAATTACAGTAATTACAGTGTATGATGCAGATTATGGCCAAAGTGTAACTCCCAACATGCTGGAATAGTTATTTTCTCTGCACAAAGACAACACATCAGATAATGTCACACTTCCTGAACTACTACTAACTGGGGGCACTCAGAGGTGGCAGGACCCAGAGGTGGGGGGGGGGGGGGAGCACTCAGAGGTGGGGGGGGGGGGAAGCACTCAGAGGTGCCAGAGGTGGGGGGGGGGGACACCAGAGGGAAGGAGGGCCACTCAAGGGTTGCAGAACAAGTACACCTTCGGGGAGGGTGTATTTGGGGGAAGCAGGACCCAGGGGGGGGGGGGGGGGAAGTGCGCACTTTTGGGACAGCAGGACCCGACAGGGGAGGGGGGGGGGGGGGAAGATTGCACACTCAGGGGTGGCAAGACTGAAGGGGGTGGTGAAGGTACTCAAGTACTGAAGGGTGGCAGGACCAAGGGCAGAGTGCACTCGAGGAAGCAGGACTGACGGTGGGAGGGGGGAGGCGTGCACTGTGGTGGCAGGACCCCAGGGAGGGGGGTGCACCTAATTATAAGATAGTGATGGGTCCTAGAAGGAGGGGTTGCACCCAATTATAAGATAGTGATGGGTCCTAGAAGGGGGGGGGTGCACCCAATTATAAGATAGTGATGGGTCCTAGAGGGGGGGGGGGGTGCACCTAATTATAAGATAGTGATGGGTCCTAGAAGGGGGGGTTTGCCCCAATATATAGTGATGGGTCCTAGAGGGGGGGGGGGTGCACCTAATTATATATAGTGATGGGTCCTAGAAGGGGGGGGTGCACCCAATTATAAGATAGTGATGGGTCCTAGAGGGGGGGGTTGCACCCAATTATAAGATAGTGATGGGTCCTAGAAGGGGGGGGTGCACCCAATTATAAGATAGTGATGGGTCCTAGAGGGGGGGGGTGCACCCAATTATAAGATAGTGATGGGTCCTAGAAGGGGGGGGTGCACCCAATTATAAGATAGTGATGGGTCCTAGAGGGGGGGGTGCACCCAATATAGTGATGGGTCCTAGAGGGGGGGGTGCATACTTGGGGGAGGGGCAGAACCCGGGGGAGGAGAGGGGCACACACTTCCGTGGCAGAACAATATATTACAAATGAAGACACACAAGTATACATCAAACACAGTATACATGTCATTATGGCAAGGAATGCTTTGTATACCCTGCAAGCACTAGAGCCGGGGTCCTTAACCTTGTGCTACATAATCCACTGGGGTCTGGAACTGTGCGTCTCCATGCCCCCTTCACCACACTCTCAATATTATCACAATCATTATCACTACTCCACTTACCAACCAGTAGAACTTCAAAAGATATCAAGTGTTTGGTTTTACTTTAAATAGGAATAGTTACCAACAACAACAGCTGAAAGAAAATCATAAGGATTCATAATGGTGAGACAGTCAATTCTAATTTTTTTTTTTTTAATTTTCAGATATCGAGTCCCATACCCATGATGATGTATGGTCCCCCCCCCCCCGCCAAGTTAATTAATATATGAATGGATAGATGAATAAATATAGTTGGATAAATAAATGGATGGACAGATGGGGAACCCTCATACTAGAGGTCTACCGATACCAAAATTTTCACTGATACTAGCAAAAAGACTTACCTGTAATAAATATTTCTTTGTCAGATACTTAAACAAAATTTATCTGTTTGAAAGAAAAGTCCAGATGTTTTGGAAGCAATTTTAACATCTGTACTAGTACAATATTGCAAAGATAGGCCGATACCTATGATACCTCGTTATACATACCTTTAACAAGTGTAATTTATCAAGTTGATGCAACTCAATAAAACAATTGGAAACTTACAAGGGACAAGAGCCGCCTCATGGCCATCTCGTGGCTCCAGATGCACTCGCAAGGGTCAAATCCTTCATCGGCCATCGTGACGACCTGCGAAGAAGCCGTAGTAGTTCAAACATCAAGAACTTGAGAAGTTGAGTACATAGTATTAATCATAATATATGTACAACAATAAGCAAAAGACATGATTAAGGTTTCCAAAAGAAGAAATTATGGCATAATTATTTATCATAATGTATTCATCATAATTAGAGGAATGTACAACATTGTAAATTTATGATGCAGTACAGTGACACCTCGGCTTACGAATGCCCCTATTTATGAACTTTTTGGGCTACAAGCCCAATTTCTTCATAAAATGTGAATCGGCTTATGAACTTAGCCTCGGGTAACGTAGTTTGTTGATATGAGTATGGGCGACCTAGCGTGTGGTTCCTGGTGGCACAGTTGCTAGTGCTTCCCGCTTAGTGACGATCACGCATGAATTCTTTGTAAAGAATTTAGTTGTTTTTTGGCTTTTTTGGGTTCTGAACATAAAAGTAATTATTTTATACAATATCACACTATGAGTCCCAAGAAAGTTAGTGGGAAGGTTCAACCTAAGAAAACACATGAGAGGATGATCATGGAGCAAAAACAAGAGATTATTTGTAAACATGAAAATAGTACACAGGTTGTTGAACTAGCTAGGCAGTACAACAAATTTATGTCGACAATATGCACTGTAATTGCCAAGAAAAAGGACATTGCGAGTGCTAAAGTGGCGAAAGGTGTATCAACAATCACGAAACAAAGAACATAAACACTTGATGTTAAAAAGTTGTTAGTAATTTAGATAAACAACAAGGAGTTAGCAGGTGACTGTTTCAGAGGCCATCACATGTGAAAAAGCAAGGCTATTGCATGAAGACCTTTAATGAAAACCTCTGGAACAAGTGATGCAGATATGAAAAAGTTTAAGGCGAGCAAGGAATGGTTTGAGAAATTTAGAAAAAGAAGTGACCTTCACAGTGTTGTGAGAGTTGCGAGTGTTGTGAGTTGGTGGAGGAACACAGCCAAGAACTGACCACCAAAGAACTCCGAGCCCTTCACAAGGAGCAGCAACAAGAGGCAGCCGAGGAAATTTCTTCAGGGGAGGAGGAGGCAGTACAGAATGACCCTTCCTCAACAATTAATAAGTGGTGTAGACTGTGGGAAGAAATGCAAACTTTTATCGAAATGACTCGCCCAGAGCAAGCTGTAGTAGGCCGCTGCCTTAACCTTTTTAATGGCACTGTGTTACAAGTGACACTGCAGACAAGTGTTACAATGTAATGAAAAAAAGAAAAAGAAAAAAAAAGTATATGGAAAGATTTTAGTGAGAAAAACAAGCAACGAGTCACAACAAGCAACGAGTCACAAGCATGTCTTAGTGGTATGCCGGCAAAACATGCCAGAGAGAGTACCCCAGAGAAGTCATCACTACCTGATGGTGTAAGTGTTTGAAGTCCCCTTCCATAACCTCTCCCCTCCTCCCTGTCTTCCATACGCCAACAAGAGTCACCAATAAAGGTGAGCAATAAACAAATCTACAAAAGCTGTGACGAGGATTCGAACCTGCGTCAAAGAGCATCCCAGACGCTGCCTTAATCGACTGAGCTATGACATGGTAAAAAGAGTTGAAACCGAAGTTCTACTGAACTTACTGGATCCTGCAGTCTCTCCGAGACACAAACCAGGGTTTTACACAACTCCCCCATGCACCCGAGCTATGTCAATAGGCCGTTCTCCCGCTTCGCCCTTACTTCATTACACACAGAAATCCCCAAAACGTGACGCATCAAATGAACAAATAGCTCGAGTGCATGGGGGAGTTGTGTAAAACCCTGGTTTGTGTCTCGGAGAGACTGCAGGATCCAGTAAGTTCAGTAGAACTTCGGTTTCAACTCTTTACCATGTCGTAGCTCAGTCGATTAAGGCAGCGTCTGGGATGCTCTTTGACGCAGGTTCGAATCCTCGTCACGGCTCTTGTAGATTTGTTCATTTGATGCATCACGTTATTGTGATTTCTGTGTGTAATAAGGTGAGCAATAACTTGTACATACTATAGTACTAAATATTTGGGTGAATTAGGTATGAAATTTATTTTGAAGTTAATATTTTTGGGAATGTGGAACGGATTAATTCAATTTGCATTATTTCCTACGGGAAAATTCGTTTCGGGTTGCGAATTTTTGGCTTACGAACCGTCTCTGGAAAGGGATTAAATTCGTAAGCTGAAGTACCACTGTACTGTACTGTACTGTATTCTAAAATTAAAGGCACAGAAAAATAGCTGGCTCTCCTCAGTGCAAGAAAGATGTTACCAAAAAAACATGCACACAGCAAACTTAAGAAAAGCAGATCATGTCTCAACCTTCAAAAGTGCAAAACATTTTGCCTGCCTTCTTCAGTGGAACATCTACCTGAACATTATTATTAAATACAGCGCACCTCTGCATAAACAAATCAGTGCACACTACACTAGTTGTAGTCAAAGGGTCTCAGTAGTACAGTTGACCTCGTTCTAGACTCGCAATTGGGACTCCTGGACTCGAATCCCTGGAGGGAGAAAGATGATTGGGCAATTTTCCTATCACCTAATGTTCCTGTTCACCTAGCAGTAAATAGGTACCCAGGAGTCAGCTTGTTGTGGGGTTGCATCCTGGGAAGGGTCAGTAATTTGACCTTGGGAAGACATCGATGTAATCCGAACATATACAGTATATACAAACACAAGCTGCCTGTCCCCAACAAAATTAATTATAAAAGATCAGCAATAATTTCAATACTTTGTTACTATGCTCTTTTTTCCTAAAAAATATTGTTAAAATGATAGAACACCTTTGTGGACATTGATTTCGAAGCCACTATTTCAAAAGTACTGGTAATAGTACTGTACTGTAAGTACAGGTATTTAAATATTTTATTGCCGACTTGACAACCATTGTGACTTTACTGTATAACCTCCTCCACTACCCAACAAATATTGGCAAATGATAAGAAACTGAGTAAATGTTGAAATAGTTTATTAAATAATAAGCTACCATGTTTTGCCCACTGGGAAGGATCCAAGATGGACTAAAACGTTGTCACTTTCATTTCCAATGTGGATTCTTGTGTTTATTTTAGTGAATCGTAAAGTTTTTCAGCACCATATTTCGGATCGACTCTTATTCAGTCTACCGAGAGAGCTGTAATGGTGAAGGACATTTCAACATTATTATACTGTAATTACATTGATTTTTAGCTAGAACTGCAGAATATAACAGTGTAGAAACCTTTGGAGAAGCCTCATTTGCATACAGTACATGTTCAGTTTAAATTTTGACTGCAAAAACTTCACAACTGTAAACATGTGCGGTGTAAGGATTCACTGTATGCGTGACATTCTAAATGAAACCTAGTTTGCTCAGTACACACTCTTGAGAGTAAGCCCTGTAATGCAGTGCTCAGCACCTTCAGGTTACAATCGAAAAGTCCAGAGTTTGATTCCTACAGCGAGGCAAAAGTTTGGGCAAATATAACTTTCACTTCCTGCCTCACTTCCTGCTAGGTGAACAAGGTCCCCAAGCAACAACTGTGGGGCGCAGCCTTGGGAAGGTCAGCAGTTGGCCTAGGAGGACCTTGATTAGTCAAACAAGCTTGTTATCCTCACCAATGGGAACCAAATCCAATGCCAAAAATAGTATATGAACACGATAGTGAACTGAAGAGAATTCAAGAGAATTTGAGGATAGAAGAACGTGGGTGGACACGGTGAACGGGAGGGGGGGGGGGGGGTTAATATAAGCTACCTGACATGGGGCAATAGTCTTCTTGCAATTTCCTTTATCCTTATTTTTATTTTGAGTGTGCAAAGATGCTGGGAGTGTGAACTGTCATATATAATAAATATGAAACTTATGGGGGAGCCCTTTACACTTGGTCTTGTAGAGTAGTTGGGGACCGCTGTCGATGACAACTGGAGTGCATTAGTGTGTGTGTATACAATTATGTAATATATTGTACTCAATTTCAAGCTCAAGAATGTTTATTGAGACAATACAATAAATCTCAAAAGGATAGAGAAGCTTAGGCCATTTCTACGACATAACAAGAGAGAGAATTGTAACGTTTTCTTTTGCTACGTATATAACAGTACTCTCTTATATGTATTTCATCTGGGCTCGTCCTCCCTGCTCTGTAATAGTGGAAAACTGGAAAATGATAATGTTTGTGTGCACCTACTCTGTGTCAAGCTGACCCATACACTTAACACTAATAAAGAAAAGGTATTTTGCTTTGCAGGTGAAAAGTTACAGTGACTTGGCTGGAAATATATTTCCCAATCCACATACATAAAAAGGATCGAAAATGACTTTTGGCCCCTCCTGTGTAGTCCAAGATGAGCCAAGATGTCCTCACTTTCCTTTCTATTCATATGTGCATTTACTTATTTCATTTGGTCTTCATTTTTAATGATAGTTAAATATACGTACGATTTCTCAAAACTCCAAGTATTTTTCAACATTATTTGAAAGTCAAGAAATTTGGTTTCAGTTGACAATTTTAAGTACTCATGTTAAACAAGTTCTTAAATCCTGTTTAAATGAACAAAATTTATTAAATCATTTTTCATTCATTTATTTACTTCAGTCTTTGTATCTTGTTTGTTGCTTGATGTAGAACACCTTCCAATTTGTCAACATTTATTCTTAGATATACAGTAATGACAGTCCAGAAATAGTCGAAAGATGGTCCAAAAACTCCAGAAATGGTCGATAGATGGTCCACAAATGGTTGAAAGACTGACAACGGCTTTTAATATAAAAAATGCAAGATTTTCCATGTGGGACATAACAATGATCATCATAACTACCAAACCAGCATCACCTTGCACCAGATTGATAAATAAAAGAACCTTGGAGTCAGAATTCACCAATCACGGAAAGTTGCACAAACACCAAGAACAAAAGTTGGGTTCGTTCTCGACACAATAAAAAATTCCAGGTTCGAATCCCAAGCAGGACAAAAATGGTTTGGCACATTTCCTACCTAATGCATCTGTTCACCTAGCAGAGAATAGGTAC